GAAGACACTTTTTGCTATATTTTTCTTAGTAAAAAAGGCATTTCTGAAGCTGTAGAGGTGCTTTTTACTACAATTTTCTTAGTAAGAGGCATTCCTGAAGCTTTGAAGATGGCTTTACTATTGATTTAAATCAAATCAAATATTTGAATACTTGATTTGAATTTGATCAGATCGCATTAAACATTAATTTTGATTTGATCAAATAAATCATTCTTTGATTTGATTTTTAAATCAAATATTTAAATATCAAATTGAATTGCAGGACCTAGCTGTAATAAATTAATTTTGAATAAATAGAATAGCTTTTTGCTTAAGTTGTAAATTAACTTTCTTATAAGTTTTATAACTCTTGTTATTTTAAGTAATAAATAAAGAAATCAACTTTAAAATATAATTACTTTTTCCTTTTATGTGTCTATTATTTAAGATTTAATTATAAACCACTACATTAACTTGTTATTGAGTTCATCACTTAAAATAAATAAATTCTTTAAGTTTCTTCTAAATCCTTAAACCTTTAATTTTATAAAGTTAAACAAAGTAATTTAGATGACTGTAAGATATTAGATTCTCTAAAGTTATAAAATCTTATAATAAGGAACTTACTTATTATAATAAAATAACTTAAACCTAAATATGCTAATAGAATTATTCTTAGCGATAACATTAAAGTAAGTAAATTAAATGTGATTTTTAATAGTTTTTTAACTGTTTTTATTATTTTTTTTATTATTTCTTTTGATTAAAGAAGAGAATTTTTTGGTAGTTTTTTTATTTTTCTTTATTTCAAGAATATACTAAAATAAGTAAATCAGAAGTAATTTTTTGATAGTTTTTTTAACAGTTTTATTTATTTTTTCATTATTTTCTGAATACATTAAAGTAAGTAAATTAAAGATATTTTTGGTCATTTTTTAACAATTTTCTTTATTATTTTTATCTTTAAAAATCAAATGTATCTTTTTTGAATAAAATATATTGTAATGTATTCTTTTTAAGTAATTTAATTATGAGAGGTTTGCTAAAAAAATGAAATTCTAAGAATTTTTTTAAAACTAAAATTTTAATACATATTAATCTATAACTTATATACTTTAATTGGTTAAAATTTTATAATATATTAGCTTATTTTCAAAATAAATATTATAATTAAAAGTTATTTATTTAGTAAATCTAGAAATAGATTTTTGAAAATGATAAATATATTTAATATAATATTTAAAAAATGATTGATAAATGATATCTTGAAAAGTTTTTAACTAATAATAATATCATATATAGATCATCTAAACTAAAAATAGATTGCTTCAATTTTAAAGCTAAACTTTTATTTTTTAATTTTTTCAAAAAAATTTAGTCTTAGATTTTCATTTTTCTAGCAAATCTCTTATATAATAATAAAATAAAATTATAAATTTAATATTATAAATAAACAAAAAATGAGTTTTGTTAGTTTTTAATTTTATAAATGGTTGCTTAATTAATTTAGATGTTTTTAAGCTAATTGTTAATCAATTTTAAGCTGATTTATATAATTTTAATATTAATATTAATTGATAGGTAATTCTATATATTTAAATAACTACTAAAATGCTGATTTTTAGTAATAATCAGTAAAAATTAAACTTTATTTTAGCTAACTTTTAGCATTTAAAAATGTGTTAAAATGGATTATTCTAATTAGTATATGAAATATAGTAAATATATATTCTATAAGATGCTTTTAATAACCAATCATCTATATATCAATTTATATAACTGATTTTTAATTATTAATTAGACTAATAAAATCAATTTAAAATTATTATCATTAAATAATTTTGCTATTTATTATAATTAATTTTTAACTTAACTTGTGATTTCAAATATTATTATATATATTAATATGAAAGAAAATTACATTAAATTTTAATTAATTAATAAAATGGTAGTAATTATATTTATTTTTATTCAAATAATTTTATGGTTTTTAAATAGTTTTTTTTATTTTTAAATTTAAAAATTTTCTTTATATTATTTTTAGCAAATTTATAAAAAATTTTTTATTAATTAATAATTTTTTAAGAATAAATAATTGATTCAATTTATTCAAATTGTTGATTTTGATTTAATTGACTTAAAAAATTAAATTAAATTAAAATTGCTTTAAATATTTAATTTAATATGATTTTGAAAACCCTTTATATTAATATATATGAAAGGCAGTCAGTAGATAAGAAGGAATCCAAAATTTTTGTTAATTTTTATTATTAAGTCAAATTTGTGCACATAATTGAAATTAGCCAAGTAGTTTAATAATATAAATTTTGATCAAAATTTAGATTTTCCCCTTTTCTACTGACTGCTTCCCATATATCTAGACAAATTGGAGTGAGTGCTGGAAAAAGAGACCAAATTGTAAAAAAAACTTTTTTTAAAATAATTAAAATTCTGGATTAAATGATAAAAATTGTATCTAATTCACTTAGAAATAAATTTTTGAAAAAATTTTTAATTTGGTTCTTTTTTTCAATACTCATTCCAATTGAAGTAATAAATTATAAGAAATTACAATATATTACTATTTATTAATTTTAGAAATATAAAATATAAAAATACCACTATATAATGAGATGAATCCAATAAACTAAATTATATTTTCTGTATTTATTAAATAATAAATTATTTTTAAAAAGGTAAAATATTGTAAACTAATATAATTTGAGATTTATTAATAAATATAATACTATTAATTATATTTTGATTAGATAAATTTAATAAGTTAAATTTTATTTTTTTATAATACAAGATATTAAAATATCTTTATTTTTATATTTTTAAATAAAAATTTTATATTAACCATTTAAGGAATAAAATTATATATAAAATTAAAGAATTCTTGCTATTATATTAACAAGAACCAGATAAATAAATATATTCAATTTTTTATTTATCACTTAAACTGTAGAGCAAGCAAATTTGCTTGCGAAGTTAAAAAAAAAGTATTAATTTCTTTATAAAATATTAAATATTAATTTTAATAATATTATTATTATATAAAAAAATATAGTTTAACATATATTTTATTAACTTTATTAACAAAGATTTTAAGTTTTTTAAAAGGTTTATAAAATAATCTAATTTTAAAATTAAGTTTCAAACAATTTCTTATAATAATTTTTTAAAAATTTTTTAAAAATTTATATGTTTGCATACTAATTGAATCACTTTATCATTAATTAAAGTCATAAAATTTCTTAATAAATTATAAAAATTATAATAATATATGTTTTACTTTATAAGTAATTTTATAATAATCTATTATGATTAATATAGTTAAAAATAAATCCTAAAAAGTTTATCATAAATTAATCATGAAATTTTTTAATATAAAAATTACAAATTTTAGCTTCTAAGTAATCTTAAACTTTTTAATGTATAATTAAAGATAAAACTTACTATAATTTATTATATATTTGTTAAATTAATTTAAAAAAAAATTTTTAAAAAATATTATTATAAAAGTAAATCAGAAAGAATTTATAGTAATAAGCAGGTAAAACCCTACGATTTAAGGGATAATAATAAAAATAAGCATTTATAATAGTTGTTATATTTTAAATCAAAAATTTAATATTAAAATCTTATATAAATTTATTGGTAGTATTTTATTAGTCACCTTTAGTAGAACAAGACAACCTAGTCTTATTCAAAAAAAATCTGGAAAAGTAGATCCTTCCATGATAAACCATTGGAATTTTCGGAAATTAATTTCTTTAAATGGTCTAAAACAAAAACAATTCATTTACCATTGTTTTGTTTTTGATATTCCGTAACACCGCCCAATAATCAAATAAAAAAAAAATAGATATTTTGTTTTTCTGGTCTGGGAATTTATTTGATAATAATAATATAATGATTATTTACATATATTGATTTAATGAAATATTTAATATATAATATAAAATATGAAACCTATAAAAATACAGCTAATAATTACAAGTTGTAAAAGCTCTTTTACAGTTCAATAAAAGTAGATTTTTTTTTTTTTTAAAAAAAAAAAGAATTCATAAGAGATATAAAAAGTGTAACCACGTAAGCGAAATATATACATGAAAACATAGTAAATATGATAAAAAAAGTTTTGATCTTATTGGAATGCTTTCAAATTTGAGTATTTATGTATAATTGTCTGCAGTTTGACAAAAGATGAAGGTTGAGGAATATTGCGAATTGAAAGAAACGAAACCGGTTTTATCTGATATAATTAATAGACATCTTTCGTTGAATTCGTAAGGAAGAACTTCTCGTTTTAAATCTTTCTCGGTAAATAAAATTTTTAACAATTAATGGAGTACGTCCAGGTAACATTTTTGCGATTTGAACATAAGTCAGATTAGGTTGAAATTGCCTCGCTTGTCGAATACACTTCTCCTCGTTTTCGGTTAACGGAGATTTGTCAACTAGATTATAATATTTTTTTTTTTTTTAAATTATATATTATATATACAAGTATATAAATATTTAACTTAAATATGCGGCAAACTTACTTGAATCATCTAGGTGATTCAACCATCTAAAAGAATATGGTTTTGGTTAATGAAATGTGCCCATCAATTATTTTGCATATATCTATATTTGAGATTACCTTTCTCGACATTGTTTAGATGTACGAGTTTGCATTTCTTTTGCGATAATCACCCAAGATATCTGATGATTTTTATGAAGTGTTCTAAATTGATTTACCAAACAACGAAGAAGTCCATCTTCCTACAAAACAAAGGTTACATGATTAGGAAAAAAAAAATTATTATAATAAATATTGACACTAGACGTTTTATCGTAAGATTTTAGGTCATGAAATTTGTACAAATTTTATTACGACATAATTATGCATTCACTTACAAAGTTGTTCCACGGTCCTTTGGCAATTTGAAAGCTTGTGTTTACTTTTGAAGGCATGATTGCTCGTATGTTTGAAAGGATGTTTTTAAATTTCAAAGAATTGGGAAATTGAGTTGTTATAGTATTTGAAAAACGAATGGATTATGATTTTATTTATATCAAAAATCATATTTACGCAGCATTCAAGTTGAAAATTTTTTTAAAATAGTATCTTTTGTTAATATAATATTTTTTATTTTAGCCGAACTAAACTAGTCGGTCATTACGTACTTTACGCAGTAATTTATCCCCATTTTTTTTTTTTTTACATTTTGTTGGTATATAATACTGTAAACTTAAATTATATAATTATCCATTATCACCGAAGAAAATTTAGCCCTGCATAAAATAAATGCTTTTTAGATTTGCGTAAGACAATTTCGTCAACAATTTCCATTACAAGATGATTACTATGTGGCTTGAATCCTATAAACCATTCTTGTAAAACCCCAAAAGAATTATGTAATACAGAGAAATGGCATAATCTCCGTAATAAATTTCCCATGATATAATTCAACAACATCTTTGAATAATGATAAAGTATAATATGTTAACTGATATGCAGAATTGGTATCATTAATTTTGTAAAACAATTAATAAATAATCACTATTATGAAACCTTTAGCGATCATTTCTCGAAAAAAAAAACACATTCATTTTATACATTTAGATTTCAATTTCAAGTGTCCGTATCATCAACTACATATTATATTTCAAGTTTAAAAACAAGAAATCGAGATAGATGGGGAAAGTTTCAACAATAGATAGATCAAAGATTTTTTGGATTTTTTTTTTCCTGAATTGATCCGGCTAAAATTTTTCCCGTATATATATGTTGGCGCAGTAGTTTACGAAGCATCATCAATCAAAAAAATAAAAGGATCTTTTTTTTGTACTCATTTTAAGAATTTTTTTTGATTTTTTATGAAACCCTTCTATTTAACAAATTTACGCACCACAATATAGTTATATAGTTAATAGAAATTTTTTATTATTTATTTGGCATCATTGAAACTTCTTGAAGCCAAGTTCTCATCCACTGTTTCATTGTTATATTGATATAATTCTTACTGAATAATTATTATTATTTGTATAGGGAAAAAAAAAAGAAAATATCACAGGAAAAAAATGAATTTATTCTATATAAAATCCCTAACAAATACAAAATCCCAATCGTATCTCGAGCCGTACAAGTATAATGAATTTCAAACTGCACCATTTCATTTATTGTCCCGTCTATTCATACGCTCATTGCGTCTTCCCGCAGCACATATAATCTTCTTCATTTGCTGTTCATTAAAAAGCTTGATCAGTATGCTATTACTATTTAAAAAGATGCCAATAAGAATAAAAAAAAGGTATTTATCATACATCTTCATTATATCCGGTATCCATTTTTACGTCTGAAAGATAACGAGGGGAAAGTACCCCAACCGAACTTCGCAGACCTAGTTCACATCGACGAATAGGATTAAGTCTTGAGCTTATCGTTGGTCGATATTTCATGTATTGTTCTCTTATGCCTAGGAAAAAAAAAATTAAAATGAAAAAAAAACATTATTCATAGATCTTAAATACCACAAAAATCACAAAAAATTGCTTACTTGAAAAGCGTAAAACTTTATCTTCCCTGGTCATCAATTTCAATTTAATCTCACTTCCGTAATTTGTTGGAACTATCCTTGATGGGGTTGTAAAATGTGGGGGTGAAGGAGGCGCAGATTGAATTGATGCGGAAAGCGGAACGAAAGCTGGCGTTGAATGTTCATATGTACTTCTTGAATTTGATGATGGATATTTGGTACATGATAAATCGTTCGATATTGGTTGTTTGAAGTTTTCACCGACTTGTTCTTTTGGTTTATTGTCCGTGTTGATGTCTGATGATCTTCTTATTTTACGATGACGATGACGATGTAATACAGAAGTTGCGTGAACTCGAAATCTGATATCGATCATGATTTAAAAAGAATTTATTTATTCGTCTGTCATGTAGTGGAATTTTGTATATGCTTTGACTCAAAAATCGCGATTATGAAAAACTTTACCTTTCTTTGTAGCTATTATTTAATAACTCAGGTATATATCGCGTCATGGCCCAAAAAAATATTGTTCCCACTATAAATAACCAAAAATTGGGCGTTTTCATCATATTATTTGCGATCTCAACCATGTGCGTACGTTCGACTTCTGCATCTGCACGGATGAAAACCTTCGTGTTCATTGTGTAAATAAGTAAATGCTATAAAAGGCGCGTTATACTAAAAAGTAACTATTTGTAATAAAAATAAGGCGAAATCAGGTTAGTGTATCACTTAAATATCAGGGTAAATGAATGGGGAAAATGAATGGGGGATTTTTTTTTTTTTAATGTTCGTTTTATATGTAGAAAATTTTTAGGTTTATCATGAAAAAAGTTATTGGTGTTGAACGTAGATCATAACTTTACATATTTAGATAACTAGTCGGTGAAAAGGAAATTATCTAACAACGTCTTCTTGTGGCTTATTTCCTATTCGAGTCACATACATGTCCGAATTAACTCAATTCAGTTATATTCTCGAATGTGATTTCCCGCCAAAAATTTATATAGGATAGAAGATTGAGGAGGAGGGGGTGTGTGAAAAAAAAAAAAAAAAAAATTGAATTTTGTAATCGGAAAAAAAAAATTATGATGTTAGATAACATGGCTGTCTTTTTATGGTTTTTTTTTAACATTGGTTTAACGGTTTTGTGGTTCGTGTGACAATTCACTTTTGCTTGTTAAATCAGGACTAGATCTCCGAACTTGTAGTCATACAAAACTAGTGACAAATATCTACATTTTGCACACAATTAGATCTTTTAAAGAAACGTGTCTTCTGTATATAATTCTAAATTTGAAGAATTTTTTTTTTTCCGAAATCAAACAGGATTCAGAGCCTGATTAAGGCTAAACAAAGTTAACCAATCAAGAATGTTTCTTTTTTATTATCTGCTTCTTGAAAAAATTGTCTATGGATGTTCTATGATTAATGATGTTCTAAAGAATTTGTTTATTAATGAATTAAACATAATATAAGTTACCTTTAATCAGTTATAGAAAAATATTAAATAAAATATACACAAATTAGTATTATAAATATATATATATCAAGTATTATTATTACCTAAATAATTAGAGATTAATACAACCACTTTCAAACAAAAGATTGGTTAATTCACCAATTTTTAATTCTTCACTTATTTCCTTAACTGTCTCTTCATCACCACATAATCCAATCTCATATTTTAATTCTTCAATCCTCATTCTTATTTCTTCAATCTCTCCTAATGTCCTTTGTTTACATTCATTAAATTTCTCTTTCATTTCATCTAATTCTTTCATCGAGTTCTCCAACTTTTCTTCGTACGTTTCCTTAAGTTTTTCCAACCATTTCATTTCAGCCACTTGCATTTTCATGTAATTCTTAATTTCTAAAATATATCCAAAACCACCGTTAATATTGTCCGATACGGATTTACCTTTACATTTAATTTTTTCCTGAAATAATTCCAACTTCTCTTTTGATTTAGACATTTGTAAACAGGAATAACCCTTAAAAACATTTGTTTCGGTTAATAAGCAAGTATATTTATGATTGAATGATATTATATAAGAATGTAATGTTTGTTGCTTCTTATAAAGTTCTTTTTGATATATATGAAGTTGATTTAATTTTGGGATAACCGATGATGTGGGTGAATTTGATGTGAAAAGGGTTGAATGTAGGGATGAGAGGTATGATTGTTTGTTATAAAATTTACAATTTACTACTGTAATATCATCATCATCAATATCTTGTTCTCGATCACTTTCAACATCATGAATTTGATGATGTTGTTGCTGTTGATTTACACCAACAAATCCAACGACTCCTCCTCCTATGAGAAATCCTACACTAAACATTGTTAATAATAATAAATTATTATTTGATGATGACATGATGAACTTGTTATCCTGAATTTGGTTTACAAAGAAAAAAAAAAACGCTATTTTTTTTTTTTTTAATAAAAAAAAAAAGTGTTGGTTAAACAAAAGAGTGTGAATTCAAATAAAAGAAGCTAGAAAGATACATGAAATGACAAAGGAAAAAAATAATAATTTTTTTTTTGCATAAAATTATAACAACAATCGATTCATGTATTTAGCCATTCTTTAATGTACATACATACATTTATGCGCAGATTGTGAAATGGAAATGATCGGTGAATTCCATTCCCATAGTAAGAAAGAAAAAAAATTATAATATATTATAATATATTTAATATATTTTTTTTTTTGAAAATCCTTTTTTCTTTTATAAAAAATACTTTCCGTTTTTATACAATCTTAAATATATCTCCTTTATCATAAGGTCAAAATAAAAACTCCCACTCTAGTTTATAAACAGAAAATCATTGACTTACCCACATGATAATTTTGTTTACTATCACTATTTTTTTTTCCCCGCAGATACCTTTTATAGTATTACCTGTTTACTGTAAACTTATGACCATTCGACCACCTTTGCAGGGACGATCGTCGTTTCTCTGAAGTTTCTTCCCTTTCTATAATTAGATATGTAAATCATGTTTCCCTTCTTACGTTATCGTGACACATCATTTATTCAATTTTCTATAGTACAAAAATGTTTCTTTTTAAAGTTCCAATTAAAAAAGATATTCTAAAATCGAAATTTCAAATAATTAAATAATTTAAAATGATCATGTGAAAAAACTTTGATCAAAATATTTTATTGAAATGATAAAAAGTAATTACAAAAAAAAAAATATATTTATTTATTTTTTGAAAAGATTAAAAAGCAAATTAATCTTTAAATTTAGGCTTATGTAACTTCTGGAAATAATACTATAATTATAATTTAATTATATGACTACTGTGAATATGCTAGTTAAGCGCCAAGCCTTTCTCCTGGATTCATAATTAATTATAATAAATTATAATTTAAAAATTAAATTAGAGACCTATTATAAAAATTAATATCGACTTCTTGTTTAATATAAAATCAATAATAAGGAACATTTTAATATTTTTTATTTTAAGAAACTTTACTAATTATTATTAAATAAATAATAAATTAAAATTATATTAAATATATATTATTAATCCAAATTTATTTTATATTATAGAATATAGGATACATTGAAATTAATTATTAATTAATTAAATAGTTATTTTATTATAAAAGAAAATAATTTTGATTTTGATTTAGATGAAACTATCTGAATATCCACCTATTCAACCGAAATTCTTTTAGTTCTTAAAGATTTACATATTCGTCATAAGGAGAAATTTTGTTCATACTTTAAAAGGATCTTACTGTATAAAGTATAAATATGATATTCTTTTAGATTACTTAATTTATACATAAAACATAAAAATAAATACCAGTTTATTATTTTGATCCATAATGTAATATGTTTTTAAGGAGAAAAAATAAATAATGTTTGAATTTTATTCTAATTTCTATCCTTGAAGATTAGGGAATTTCGAGGAGGCAATGTAATGGGTCCCAGTATAAATTTATTTTCAATTATCCCACTTTTTGTTTCGATATGATATCTCAAAATCAATTTATGTAATGCAAGTTTTATTTCATTTACGGCAAAAAATCGACTAAAGAATGTAAAAATTATTATATTAGTTAGATATGAACGAAAAATTTTATTAACGAGAAAATTAAAATTTACCCGGGACATGAACGTTTTCCGCCACCAAAGATGATATAAGAACGATCAACGTTTGTTGCTGGTGAATTTTTATTTACAAACTGATATGGTTTAAATTCTTCGGCATCATCACCATATGATTCTTTTGACTTTAACAAACTCTCCGTATACATATTTATTATGCGTCCTGCATACAAAAAATAAAAATTGGATGATTATTTGTAAATTATAAATTAAATTAATTTAATTTGAATACCTTTTGGAACCGTGTAACCATTTGAGAAGGTGTACCTTTCTGGTATAACGGTATGAGGAAAGGTAACTAAATTGATGTCATGATTTAATCTACAATGGTTAATATCACATATGTAAAAAGGAGGTTTTACACTTACTTGTATCACCGGTATGCCTAAGTGATTCCTTAACAAAGCTATCTAGTTTTTCCATCTTTTGAATATCGGTTAAGGTAATCGATCCATTGCATTCTTTGTCAATTGCAAACGCCTCTTCATATAATTCACTTAAGCATTCCGGCCTGCTCGCCAAATCTGAAATAAAAAATAAGTAATTCGATTAAATGGTATTAAATTAACTTCATTCAAAAACACCATACCATATAAAGCATTAATAGTCGCTTTGCTTGTTGTTCCGATAGCGGCAAAAGCCACTAGAAATAAGTCGGGAATATTATCAGGGTTGGTGAAATCGAAACCCGTTTGATTCATATAATATTCAAGTAAATCATTCTAATATATTGAATTTCAAAAAAATGTGAATATAACATAAATATTATTTTTATTCCAAGAAATAAAATACTTACGTAAGGTTTATGTTTATTATGAAGTATTCTTTTCTCCTCAACACGTTTTTTAATTACTGGTTGTAGACAACTTATTAAAAGTTTTCGATTATATGATATCGGACCCCATCCAAATTTCATTGATAATCTAGTAAAAACAATTTTTAGATCAACGCACCCAAATAAATGATGACGAACGGCGAAAAAAAAATAACACTCACGTGACCACCATTTTATGTAATCTCGGATGAATAAAACTGAGAACTGGTGGGATTGAAAGCAAAGGACCCAATTCAAATGACAAATTTGCTAATGCATTTAATGAATTTTTATGAGATCCCACATCCTAAAATGTAGTGAGAGACAATTTTAAATTAGATTTTATAATCATTTGGCATAAATCTCTGGTAAATTAAATGACGATTGCCAAATTAAATTTTTTTGATATAATTACCTCTCCAATTAATACACGCGCCATTGATAAAGTTATTATGCTATTAACCATAAACCATACATTAGAAATGATCTTGGGATCTAATATTGACAGAATTTATTAACCATGGAAATAAATACTGAGATAGTTGATGTGCTTTTATCTTTTACCTTTACATTCTCCGATCAAGTTATCAATCTCTTTTACGAGATATTTTTGCACGATAGGAATAAAAGGATTACTAGATAAATATTCTTTGGTGGTTTTGCATTTGCGTTTCACTGTCTCTAGATTTAAACCGTAGTTATAGTTGAAAATTTGATGAAAAGAAAGTAGCTACAAACAAAAAAAAAGCTTTAGCCAAGATAAATGCATGACAGTATTTATGTTTCATTAGTCTTTACCTCGTTTACTTCTGGTACGTTATTAAATGATTCATAACATCTGAATACATCATTGATTGAATTTCCTGAAATTATCGTTATTTCTCGTCCTAATACATAGAGCGAAAAACAATCCCCATACTAATAAAGGAATATCACGTTTATTTAAGTAATGTAAGGATATCTTTTTTTTCTAAAAAGAAATAAACAAATAAAAGATTACATTTACTTACCTGTTCTTTGCATTTTCTAATAAAACTTTTAGTGTCTAATAAATAGTTATATGTATGCCCGATGATTGGAATTGAGTATGGTACAAGAGGTGGTTCGTTCTATATAAATGAAAATAAAATCAGGTTTTTTTTGAAAACTAATTAATTAAATAATAAAAATAATTAGCGTTACTATGCATGTACGAGGACGTCTTATCATGTAAAAAATGATCAAAAGGATAGTTCCAACAATCAGTGTATAGAATATCGAACTTTCATCATTAGAATGAATTTCCATTGAATGTATAATTGATAAAAAGATTAGTGGCGTAGTTAGTATAGATTTGCGTAAAATTGTTTAAAATCAAAAAAAAAAAAAGTTCTCGTTGATTTTTCTACCAATTTATATAGATGTCATTAGTATGGCGGTAATGTTGTGAATTTGGACCTATGTTCAAATAATTAATTTATGGATTTGAATTTTTTATTTTTTAGAACAAAGATTTCTTTTTTACTGGGGGGCATAATCTTGTGTAACATCAGGTTTTTGGGGTTATTTTTAGACATTTTCATCATGATGTAAGAAAATACAAAGAGATTTTGAAACCGTCAATTTTAGGATGTAAAGAAATTTGATAAGATTGATTTTTCGGGCTTCCCGAATTATGCAATGCATGTTTGTTTGTTTCATTTACAACAAATAATGAAAAAAAGGGTTTGATTTATTAATTAAAAGTATGGATGAACAAAAATAATCTACATGATAAGTAATTTTATCATCATTTAAGTCTATAAAACGAGACGATCCAGATTTTTTTTTTCTTTTTTAAAAAAAATTAATTGATTCATCGCATTCGTTCATAAATTCGTGAGTATTTATTTTCATTATCCGTTGTTTGAATTATCGTTAGCAAAATAAAAAAAAATCCTTTGAATTTTGGGACATTAGAGTAATATTTAAATTAAAAAAATATGATATCCACATTTTACTTTATGAAATAATAATACATCAGTATTCTTTATTGGAGGTTATAGACATATGGGAGGTTTGCTAGGAAAATGGGTTCTGAGAATTCTTTAATAAAATTTTAATTTTAATTTTTTGATGATATAACCCCATTTTCCTAGCAAACCTCCCATATATAATTTAAAAAAAAGATAAAAAAAAGACAGAATATAAAGTGATATTATACTATTTGTAAGCTAAGATTATTACAAGATTTAATTTTACAATTTATTATAACATCCATTCAATTGTTGACATCAAAATTTTCCAAATCCAAATGTTCCAAGTCAACATAAAATTGAGTCGGGTCCAAGTACCCGGGATCAAAATGAATCTGATCCACGTGCCCGGATACAAAATGAGTCGTGTCTACGTATTCGGCATTGGTGGTGTAAGTTTAGTGGATGTTGGCAAATTATAAGGTCATTTGAGGACAATTTAGGTCATTTCAAGGTCATTTGACAACACTGGTTTAGGTAATAATGGTTCAAGATTCTTGAAAATAAGTTTGTGTATTCTCTTATAAACGCGAGCGATTTCTTTAAATAAATTTTTGACTTCATCGGATTGTTTAGTCAAAGTAATATTAACTTCGAATGGTGTATTCTTCCTTGCCGAGAAATCCCTTTGGTACAAGAATGTATATCCGTTATGAGGGTGAGGTTCGCCCCATCGCATGAAACATACATTCTAAGGAGAGGTTCTAATACTTGGTCTGCGTTCAAATATAATGAATAGATAGAATTGATAAATAAAGAGACCTCTTCAGATTCAAGTATATGAAATATGTGAAAACTATTTTTATCAGACATTTGGAAATATAAAAATGTTGAAAGTGTTTTTTTTAAAAAGTTTATTTTTTTTTTTATTTTTAAAATAATTTTTCGAATTTTTCGAGAAGAAAAATGCTTCTTTATATACTTGAAGTCACAATAATCTAAAGGACAGCTGTGATATCATGTTGTGAACCATCAAACGGCCGAACCATACAAAAGGATTAAAATTTTTTTTTGGATAACCTAATTTGGATGGGCTTAACCAATCTCAATGATCAAATTTCTTATAACAATGTTAACACGTTTCAAAACTCTGAAACATAATAGGAGTGACGACCGATACAATAAGATATTTAAGCGATGCTGAATGCATTATTTGTATGTTGTATGGAATGAAGATCTTATTCAAAAATTTTTATTAGAGCGTTTATAGCCAATTAAAAAAATATTTTGCGCATACTTGTACATGAAACAGTTTTCAAATATTTTAAATATTGTCTGAAATCATCTTTTTCTGGTTTAACATTTAATTTGTAATCGAATATCACATTTTTGATTACAAACATATCAGCCTCTTTGTTTCATTCATAAAGAAAGTTAAATAAATGTTTCACAAAATTGAATACTGCATTATCAATCTATTTTGACTTTTAATCTAAATTAGTTCATTTACCAGGGTGTATAGTATTTGTAAATTCAATATTTCCCGCCTGTAAATATTAACGTTAATATGAGCTATTTGAATATGACTTATCCGTTATTTAAATCCCAATGACGATCATTAACATTTTCTACAATTAAAATTTTACGATGATATATATATATATATATATTTTTTAAAAAAAAAAGAGATGCTTCAAAGTTGAGGAGATATGAATTTTTGTAAAAAAATTATTTCAGTATAAACTTCGGAAGTGCGACAATTTTTTTTAAAAAAATAATTATTTAAAGTGAATATTTTTTTTTTTCAAAAATTATTTAAGAGAGTTTTGGAGGGTTATTTTTTTGTTTAATAAAAAAAAACTTCGAAAATAACGAATTGAATTCAACAATAATTGATTCTTTAGAAATTAATATATATTTATTTTAATACTAGTTATCAAATAATTGTAATATAAAAAAAAAAATTTAAATATTAAAGATTTATTTTTATTTTACTAAAAAAAATATTATTATAAGAAATATTTTTTTAATTTAATATTATCGTATAGTAAATTAAAATATATATTAAAAAAAAGTGCATAACTTGGCAAATACATAAAATAAATGAATAAATTTCTATTTATTTGAAAAGAAAAGTAAGTTCTATTTAATGAATTCAAGACATGAATTGATTTACTGGTTGCTAAATAAATGATTATAATGCGTTTATTTAATAAATTTTTTATTTGATTATTGATACTCTTGAATGCATTTATTCTTAAGCTTGATTCACACCTTCAAATAAATATTATTCAATTAGCATGCATATGCTTGAGAAATAATGATTAATAAACTTGCATAAAACCTGCCTTAAAATTTTTCTAAAATCATATTTCTTACCAAAAAATAATTTTCACAAGAGATTATTGAGTTCTTCTTACTTAATTTAAAACTATTTTTACTACTTAAGAACTATAACTAATAAACAATCTTAAAAAATTAATGGATAAGCAGTCAGTTTAAAATTAGTTTCATAAAGAAAATCTTCTACATTTTAACTTTATACAAAAAAGTAGGAAAAGGAAAATTTATTAAACAGCAAGCACAGGATCAACTATGCAATGAGAATTGGATTGCCTTAATATACAGTATGTTTAATATTATGAAGACCAATATGTAGTTATTCTGAATATCTTCGAGAATTGAATAAAGTTAAGCCTTAAATGCTTCCCTATATACTAGATTTCCGAAAAAAGTTACACTAGGTTTCCCTCATATAGTCCGCTTGACTTCTTCTCGGCGAATAGTAAAACCTCCGAAAATTTGGATTATAATTACAGTATCTACGAAGCCGGAAGAAGAATAATTAGCATACAAGGAAATTCGAAGTGGTACAATTATTAGGTTGCAAAGTATTCTCATTTGACTGATTAATGATTTTGATGCAAAGGTAAGTTTGATTTTATTAGTTTTTTTGTTGTTTTTTTTTTGACATAAGCAAAGGATCAACTGGTGAAACTTTTAGTTTCCTGACGAGTTTAGACAGACTGTCGAATGTCGAAAGTGTTAAAACCTTATAAAATCATTTAAATAAACCTGTCGAAACCTGTCGAAACCCGTCAAAACCTGCCAAAACCATATTAAACAGTCGAAACTTTATTAAGACTTATTAAAACCTGTCGAAACTAGAGGTTTAGACAACAATAGAGAAACTTACCTCCTTTATTATATGTTTGCGATAGATTTTGAATCGACAAAGTTTGATCGCATCACGCAAATCTGGACCGGTATTTGCAGGAATAGGTGAAAAAAAGCGCTATACCACGTCGGATAATTTCCCGTGATGATCGAAAGTAATTCGTTAAAGTTTGATTAGCGTTTATGTATGAAACCGAAGTGTAATACTACCTCTACCTAGACGCCCACGATTCATTAGAATCGCGTGATAATGTTCGCATCATGGAAAGGTTGCCTATAAAAATAGGAAAATTGTCAAAGTTATTATTCATGATCAACCTCCTGTACTTTGCGCAATTTACTGAAAAAACAAATTCGATTAACGAAAATATTTTGCTCTGGCTATTATTCGGGAAATCACTTTCTCGATCCAACACCTCAAAACTAGAGAAAAATTATTATAAAATAGATCAGATAATTTTTAACACATAACTAAATCTTTTTATCGAAGCATACTCTCTGCAAGTTCAGTGACAAGTTTTCTTCACATGTAAAGTTCAAGGATGTGTTTCCAAACAACGGGAGTGCCAAGCGCTATGGTGATGTTCGAATTCTTTATCATAAATTTCATTGCCGGTCGTTGATCAAACCTGCAGTCCAATAATCGAATTTGGAATTTACGATGATATATAGATCCATAATGAAAAGCTAAAAAAAATATTAATATGTAATTGTGGAATGAATCAAATATCCATCCCTATCTCTATTATCCACGAATATTTCAAATTCGATTAGCAAATAAACTAATTATTACAAGTACAGTTTCCGAAGGAAATGATCGATTCTCTCCAAAAACTGCACAAACAAATAATAATGTTTCATCAGTAGGGAAAATTTGATCGCTAAAACTTTCGCCTCATATTAAACCTTGAACACAAATTATTAACAATTAATCAAAATGATTTATGGAGCTTTATTAATATATTTATAAAAAAAATATAGCAATCAATGTAATTTAATATGATAATCATAAATTCTAAATATTTGTTCTAAACCAGTTAATATGTTGACGTTTTTGCAAACCCTTGAAGTGATCTGTTGATCAATGATCCACTTAATATGCGAAAACAGATCCTTAATCGATGCTCACGCGTAAGTGTTCGCAAATTGAAGGAATAACTAGCGACGAATTCAGAAAAATTACAACATTCCCTTCCCCGTTATTCTTGTTATAACCCTTATAGAACCCAATCGACCCCTGAAAAATAAATCACATTATTAAAGTTCTAAAACTCATAAAAGTTATATAAATTTTCTTACCCGTTGATACGATCCCATACATTACTTCTTCATAGATGGCCTCGTCATACTTCCGTTTGTTGTTGTATGACATAAGTTGAATAGCATTTTGTGCAATGCCCTGGTTTATGTCATCACGTTTTGCTTCTGTGACCATGATTATTGTGTCACCTACTTTTATTGCCCAATCAACAGGCCCTTTCCCGTGACACCCAGATATTTCGTATATATACGACGTCATAGATAATTTGTGAAATAACGTGCAATGAGTAGCTTCGTTAGCGCTTATAATGGCGGGGATGCCTTATGTGTTATCTACAAATCGCAACACTTGGTTAATAAATGACCTTTCACGCAAGTCAACCACTCAGCTACAAATTATGCATATCAGAATACACGAAATCACGTCATTCCTAATATCTTCCGGTGTTATTACATTTCCCCCATCGAATTGAGGTAGTCATCAAAGCTATCCGCTTTCAAACAGAATATAACTTGAATTCTTGCAAATGTCCAAGAACTAAACGGTTGTTGCGCTGTTAAAGTATAACATGAGTGTTAATCGAACTCTAATGTGGACTTGCATAAGAAAATCTCTCATAAATTTGATTTAAATAAATTACAATCACTTACATGTATCAACATCGATAATTAGGTCAATTATGAAACTATTGGACCTCAATAAATCTTCGTCTACAAGTAAATGCATGGTGGTTCGCTTCTTTCCTCCACCTAAAACACAATTTATAGCGATGTTATTCTCTTCGGTACCATCAGGGAACGTAATACATGAAATAAGTTTTGCTTTTAACCCGGATAATGTAACCATATGCGGTTACAGTCCATTGAAAATTTACCGTTTTGCTTTTGGCTGTTCACTAGGGAAATGATTTGATTTATAATTTTCGAAAGTGAAGTGGTTTTTGTTCTATGCCATTAATATCGTTTTTTGAATTTGATTTGGAATTGGTGAAGTAGTTCAGTTTCATCGAGAGAGAGGTCAACAATCCATAATTTAATCTGGTCTGCATCTTAATTATTTTTATAAGTTGTCCGATAGTTTTTGTCTCGCTGGTATTGATACTGACGACAAATGAGTTTACATATGGGTCTTCACCAGCGACCAAACAATTTATAAAAGTATCAATAGTTATAAAATTAATAAAGCAATTTGTTATTCTGTCATGATCGTGCGCACATGAGTTTTTGCTAAGAAACTTCATTTTTATATAGCCGAACACGTGGTTTAAAAAAGATCACGTTGTGCAGCTACCAAATACTATTATTAATCACCCATTGTGAAACAAGATCAATATATATATATATCACATTAATTTAAAAAATGATTTTCCCACATTTCTTTCTTGACCCATTCAAAAAAAAAAAAAAAAATTTACTCGCTAGTAGTTAGTTAATTACAGATAAATTAAGATATAAGTGACGGCAACTCTTT